TCCCTCCCTCCCTTCCCCACCCCTCCCATCCTCCTTTCCTCCTTGTCTTCCTCTCTCTCTCTCTCTCATTTTTTCTCATGCCACAGCTATTCTAGAATTGCATTCTATACTGGTTTACATATGTACTTTCAGGGGTAACCTACAGCAAAGTAACAAATAGCATGCTGCAGGCCAACAAAAACAAAAAGCACAAAATACATCCCTCTAAAGAAAACGCTATTGACACATTATGCCAAATATGATATTGCTTGTGTGTAATATAGATCGCATCTCCCAAGTGAGGCCTTGTACATCTCCCGCACGATCTAGGGTGTTTGTACCTCCTTAATGGCTGTGTACTTGTGTGTATGTGTGTGTATTGAACTTGCTCTTGCTAGTTGCTGTTATTTACTATGACAAAATCCATTAGGCTATAATGACTTGCTCAAGCCATGAAAACAAATGATTGCAAAGCTTATAAATCCTAGTTTTTGTAATTTTTTATGTCTCTTTATATTTATTTAATGAAGACTCAGGGGATATGGAACTTTTGCATGATTACCCTTTATATCTGTGTAATATTTCATGAAGACAAAATAGTATCTAATAGATAGCATGCAAATATATATATATATATATATATTATATAAATACAGTATTATAGAACTACATCTCTTTGGTACAATGTCAGAATGCAAAGAATTACTCCAAAGTTTATAAAATGTAGTTTGACACATTTTTCAATACACATGATATGCTTTCAAATGCAAAACTGTATGTAAAAGAAATGTATGTATTTACATATACAGATAATTGCTAGTAATAATCTTAAATGAGAAAAATATTGAAATATTTGTGAGAAAATATGATGTAATATGTCAGGTAAGTATTGATTCCTGGAAAAATAGGAGAATGCCTTTAAAAATTTATTTTGATAAATATGGACACTTGATAATAGCATGATTTACAATTGCTGCATTTTCTAAAGCATTGCACTGAATCGCTGTTAATATAATAATATTGCATATTTAAAGGAATTTCTAAAATATATAGATATATGATATGAATTTTAAATACTAATGCACATGAAACATAGTTACCCTTTGAAACCCACCTTCCCAAAACAAAAAGGTATTAGCTTTATTTCATTGCTTCTTCTTTGTAATATTTAAGTTAACTAGTTCTATGCATTTATATATTATTTTAAGTAAGTGAATTTCACCTGAAAAATATCTGCCAGGCTCTGAAATTTTATTTTCAGAGCATTGTTGATTTTTGTTAGTGTATACTCTGCTGTTTAAAAAGACACTGTTTGACTTCTGGAGATATCGTTAGAGAATCTGATATCTAAACAACTGAAGGTTATTTCATTCATTGAAAACAAGAAATGCTAATACTTCATTGCTAAGTTTTGTATTCTTCTGAAAATGTATGTATATATATATGTATATATGTATATATACATATATATATATATATATATATTTCACTAAGCTATGGAATATTTAAGAGAAAATGGAGGTATTATTTTCTTTGTTCTTTCAACAGTAGGTAGAGATAAATTATGTCACAAGATTGTGACTCATAGATATTGAAAAATGAGTAGAATTCATCCTGCACCACAGATGCTGACAGGCTTAGCGTGGCCAAGAGAAGTTTGTGAATTTTTTTCTATATTCTGCACGAATTTATCAGTTTATTTTCAGACATCATGCCTCATGCCAGCCATTTGATGCACTCCTTTAGTTTTCCTTACTGAAGAAAGGCATAAGAGATTTTAAATCAGTATCTTCAGTTATATATTAATTGACAAGACAACCACAGTTTTAATTTTTAAAGTATTCCTTTTTCGCTAAATTAATAGAGATGATGGTATGCAATAGTGACCCCATTTGGGGGTTTTGAAGAGATAATTATGCTGTATCATCACGATGAGACCAAAAACATGGAGATAAAGCATAGCTGACATTTTGCTTATTTATTAATTTTATAAACTAGTGATAGTGAGTATCTATTATGCTAGCGAGTGTGGGACTATACAAAGATGTAAATGATAATTGCTTTAAAAACATCTGTTTACAAACACAAAATTAAATATTTATTGTAATCATAGAATATGCATAACATTAGTACACCTTCAATTAATGATGAGGTAGTCCCAGCAATCACATAGTATAGTAGGAAGAAATAATGGACGTAGAAGACTAAATTCTGGGCTTAACTTGGTCAGCATTATGCAGAACATGTGATTTCTCTGCAATTTCAATTTAGTGTTTGTAAGATAAGGGAGTTGAACTAGATTAGTAGTTTTTAAAAGGAGAACTCTTCCATCCCCTCAGAAAAATGAGTTATTATTTAGAACAGAATGTATAAAATGGAACACAGTAGAGTTACTGGATGGTGGGATTTCTGCCTCTTTTATCTTTCTCCTTCCTATGTTGAGTTTCAGGAGGTACAAGTTGTGTCTAAAGAACATGGTGTAAAATTTCTGGGTTAGGTTAGTTAAAATTAGAACCAGTTAGGTTAGCTCTTGATAGTTCTAAAATTAGACAGTCCAATCATCTTTTTTTGATGCCATAATGACTTGTATGTGTGTTTGCTTATGGAGTAGTATAATTCTGGAAGTACTAGAATTTCCTGGGGCTGGCCTTTGATTGAAAAGTCAAGTTCCTATTATATTAGGGCTTCTGTGAGGTCAGATTGGGTTGGAATATGGTTCCAACTTCTTATGGTTGAGTCTATGGGTAGATTTCACTGATGAGGATAACCGAGGAGAAAACCTGTGGTGCTAAACAAATAAAAGTAGGTTGGGGATGAATATCGGTAGAACATAGACTTGGTATATGAACTAATTTCAGGATTCTTTTAAAGGTCAACTAGGAAGGGCAGTTGAATAGAGCAAAAATTTATTCTGAAAACTCACTAACAATGCCTACATTCACTATATGGTGAAGAATACAAAGCCTCTCTCTCCTGCAAGGACTGTCCATGACAAGAAATTCCAAAACCCAGAAAGCAATGAGCATTGGGGTCCTTGGATTTGATTGGCCGAGAACTTGTCCATCAGATGCAGCTCTCTGCAGCGGTAATTTTAAGCATCAATGAGGAGCAATATGGCGAGAAGAAAAAAGTGCTTAACTTCAAGGCACAAAAGCTTACTTTGAGTGTGATCTTAGACGTGATCCTTTGCCCCTCCGAGCCTCATTTTGAGCTACAAAAGTAGCAAGATGATCCCTGTCACATTTTAACCTCAAGACTGTGGTGACAATCAAATGATCTAAGATACATAAAAGCATACCTTATGAAATCTATAAATTATTATATAGCTATAAAATGGTAAAACCTCATTGTTTCATATCAATAATTATTGCCATTGTTATATACATTAGATTTGAATGGCCAATTTTTGTTTTTTAGCTGAGCCATCCTGCCACCTGTTGGCAGTTCAGCGGCAGCTCAGCTTGGGCCGTGAATCGAACCGGTGACCCTGTTGCTCAGAGCTCACACTCTTGAGCAAGCTTTTAACCAGCTGAGCCACTCGGCCGGCCCCGAATGGCCAAATTTTGAGTGTTGAAACAGAAATTAATGGGGAAAAGTAATGGAGGAATAGCTGATCTCTCTTTCTGGCCTTTGCTGGAATGGGCTGGGACCAAGAATACGTCTTTACCAGTTCCATTGCAAGGATCAGCTTTACAGATTATCAAGTGGGCCAGTTTAAGGAAGTCCTGCTTGTCCAAAGTACTGTCCTCAAAATACACAAAATGCTACCTCTTCCCATTTCATTTAGGTTAATCTGTAGTACCTGATGGTTTTGAGAAAGATTCATCTCTCCTAATCTGTGTGAAGTCAGTTTGAGAAATGGCTGTTTTAATGGGGAGGGTCAGAATTATAAAAATTAACCAGTGATAATTTCAGAACGCTTGGTAAAGTTGATGGAATCAGTGGGGAAAGACACCATGTCTCAACTCTTTCTGATTTAGGCCTTCTGAACATGGCGGCATAGTATGGTGGTGGGGCGAGGGATACTATCAGGAAAAGAAAGTGGTAGGAGACAGAAATGTAGAAAGGAACACAGGAAGGCAAAAATAAGTTGACTGCTTAGTCCTGTTGCTGATGGCAGCTCTGACTTTCTCCATCTTCTAAGAAGCCAAATGGAGAGGGGAGTCAGCAATTTGGGAAAGATGATAATTGAGGTAGATCTTAAAGAATTAATGAAGGAAAGGTTGGGGAAAGGCAGCAATCCGAATAAACTCTTACCAACTATGTACCAACTATGTACTATTTCAGGTCACGGTGTTTGGTACCATGGTACCTATATCACTAGGTAAGATGTGATGGATTCAAGGAGCTTACTGTTTAATGGCAGAACAAAATATGTTCATGGGTAATGGGCTGAGAACAAGTGTATGCTGAGTGAATTTAGCAGCCACTCTGGCAACATGGAAGAGATAACAATCCTGGGTAAACCTATGAAAAAGCTCAAGTGTGCTCAATGGAGAGTAAGTTCAGTTTGCTTACAGAATATAGAGCATGGAGCATGAAGCTTTAGTTGTGCATGATAGGCCTGAAAAGGATGATTAGACACAGTGTGGGGAGGTCAGGGCAGCCAGACTAATAGTTTATGCTTAATTCAGTAGGCAATGAGGAGTTCTTGATGTATTTTTTTATGCACTATCCAAAGAT